AAGATGCCCTGCCTCAGGGCTCACGGAGAGGCAGGCCCCCCAGCACCAGCTTCTCAGACGACCCCTCTGGAGCCCCCTCCCTGACTCCTCCCTGTCTTTGAACCCAGAGGCCATTGGCCCTGGAGACCTGGACCTCCGATCCGCTTTCCGCCGCACGTGAGTAGCTGCCTCTTCTTGGGCCGGGGGAGGCCAGTGCTGGAGTCGGGGGACCCTCGGGATCAGGGCTGAAGTCTGCCGGGCAGGGCGAGCAGGGCGCCCCGTGCAGGTGAGGATACTGAGTCTACCCACAGGAGCCTGTCCGGAGGCGGTCGGCGGATCAGGTACCCCTCGGCCGGCCCCTGCCTGCCCGAACCTAGACCCCCGGGGGGCTGAGTGGAGGGGAGCCCAATCTGGCCGGTGTGGATTCCTCCTCCACTCCTCCCACCCTCACAAGCCCCCCCCAGTCACCCCACTGCAGCCTCACAGGGGCCCCTCTCCGCAGTGACGGTCACGAGGATGCGGGCATTCTGGACTTCAGCTCACTGCTGAAGAAGAGGTGAGTTCTCGGCCGCGGCTTCCAGGCTGGCGTCAAGCCCCAGCTCTGCCGTTGTCCCGCTGGGTGGCCCTGGAGGAGCCACTTCACATCTCTGAGCCTTTTCCATGTCTGTCACGTGGGGTGATCCCGGTGTGAAAAGAGTTAAAGGGCCCGGCAGATGGGAATGATCACCCTGACAGTGTCACCCACGAACACCCCACCTCGGGTCGGCTCCACCTCACCTCGATAGACCTGGGAACCCAGGAGAAGCTGAGAGAGGGTCCCCGAAGCTGCCCAGCCCAACGGACTTACATTTTTATGTTTTTTCTCCGTCTCTCTCTCTCTCTCTCTACCTGGACTGCTCCACTGTGACCACCACTGCTGTGACCCAGAGAGTAAGAGTCCAGTCTGGGTGCTCGGGGGCCCAGGGCACCACGGGGTGTGGGATGGCCTTCTTGGGATCCCGTCCCCATCCCAGGGTTTGGTGAGAGACTTGGACAGACCAGGGTGAAGACTCACAGGCTCTGATACCGGCCACAGCCTGTCTCTCTGGGGTGGAGTATGGGGGAGTCAGAGTAGGCCCAGCACACAGGCCTGCAAAAGTGGGGGTGCGAGTGCGGGAAGGGGGAGATGGGGCCGGGCTCGGAAGGCCCAGACCTCTAACCGCCTCTGCCCTTTCTGCCCTGTCTGGAGCAGCAGCTTCCGGGGTCTGCGGTGAGTGCCCAGCCCAGCCCAGCACCCTCATCACCCCTCCCTAGCCCCAGCCCCCTAATGCTCCTTGGACCCCAGACCTGGCCTGGGACCCAGGTGGTTAGCACTGCCCCCAGGGAGGGCAGGGCAGGGCAGAGGGGCGGGGGCAGCTGGGCCCAGGCCGCCCCTGAGGCCTCTGCATGGATTATGGGGCGCAGGGACTCGAAGCTGGAGGCCCCGGCCGAGGAGGATGTGTGGGCGCTCCTGCGGCAGGCACCGCCATCCGAGTACGAGCGCATTGCCTTCCAGCACGGCATCACCGACCTGCGCGGCTTGCTCAAGAGGCTCAGGGGCCTGCGGTCCGACGAGCGGAAGAGCACGGGTGAGCCTGCCAGGCCCGGCACATGGGGGGTGGGGGGGCGAGCGGGGGCGAGGGGCCAGATAACCACCCCCATCAGAAAGATCAGGAGTGCCCAGGCTGGCGCCTCCCAGAACAGGAGCAGAGCTTCGCTTAGCCCAGGGACCGGGCAGGAAAAGCAGCCCGTCTCACCCTGTAAAACCAGGCTGCCGGCCAGCAGATGGCATACCGGTTATGTCGCTGGACTCCCACATGACCAACCACGGTTCAAGTCCTGGATCCAGTGGCTTAAAAATTATATCAAGCATCGGGACCAGCAGTTGGTGTAATGGCTATGTCGCTGGAATCCCACGTAGTTGACCGTGGTTTGAGTCCTGGACCCGGTGGCTTAAACTCACGCTGGGCGCGTGTGCATGTGTGCCCAAGATCCCAAGAGGAGAATGGAGGAGAAGGGATTGCGGTGTGGTCATTCCCCCGGGAGGGGATTTCTCGCTTTCTGTCTCTCTGTCTCTCTCTGTCTGTCTGGCGAGCGCACGTGCCCTATAGCAAAAACCTCTCCAACAAAAGAAAAAAAATTATATCAGGCACATGCGTGCATGCCTAGGTCCCAGGAAGAGAATGGAGAAGAGACTGGTGTGGCCATTCCTCCTGGGGGGTGATTTCCCACGTTCCCGCTCTGTTTCTGTGTCTCTCCCCCCTGTGAAGGCACACCCCTGTAGGCATAAACCTTTTTTTAACAAAAAATCAGGCTGCCGCCTCCTTCTCTAACACCCCTGAAATCAGCCTAGTGCACTCTCTTCACCCCCAGAGGTGGGCCAGAGGTGAGAGGTGGGGGTGAGAGGGCTGAGCCTGGAGAGGCCGCTGGGAGGGGACCCCCTGGTAGGAGCGAAGAAGCCGGGTTGGTGATAGAGCCACAGTCCCCAGTCCTGACGTCAAGCTTCTGTCATTCTGGAGGCCCCTAAGCCATCCTGAGCTGAGCGGGTGGAGAGGACCCGAGGAAGGCCGGAGGACAGGGACAGACAAGGAGGCGCTCACTCGCTCACACAGAACGGCCACAGGAGGCACAGAGGGCCCGGGCAGAGGACCGCGCTCCGCCGGGGGTGGGGTGGCGGTGGTGGGGCAGGGCGGAGGGCCGGCTCTCAGCCTTTCAGAAGAAGCTGGAGCCGGCCTACCAGGTGAGCAAGGGCCACAAGATCCGGCTGGCCGTGGAGCTGGCCGACCCCGACGCCGAGGTCAAGTGGCTGAAGAACGGCCAGGAGATCCAGATGAGCGGCAGGTATGGCTGGGGGGGAGGGGGTCCTGGGGGAGGGTTGGAGGGGTGCCCCCACCCAGCCCTGCCCCTCTCCATGGGTGTGGCTCTCTGGCTCTGTCTGGCTCTCGGTCACCGTCTTTCTTCCTCCGTGTCTAATTCCCCATCTTCCTGTCTCTCTCCCTGTTTTTTCCCGGTTCTTTCCATCTTGCTTCCTTCCGTCTGGACTGGTCTGATGGCCCCTCCTGTTCCACAGCAAGTAAGCCCCCCTGGATGGCTTGGGGTGGTGTGGTAGGGCACTTGGGCCCGGGGCTGCAGCCATGGCCCACCCCACCTCCCACGCCCCCGCACCCCCAGGTACATCTTCGAGTCCGTCGGCAACAAGCGCACGCTGACCATCAGCCAGTGCTCGCTGGCCGACGACGCGGCCTACCAGTGCGTGGTGGGGGGTGAGAAGTGCAGCACGGAGCTCTTCGTCAAAGGTGGGCCCAGGCCCAGGGACCTGGGGACTCGGGAGGGGGCACAGCCGCAGAGGGCCCGACCCTCACGGTCCCCGGGGCCTGGACAGAGCCGCCAGTACTGATCACGCGCCCCCTGGAGGACCAGCTGGTGATGGTGGGACAACGGGTGGAGTTCGAATGTGAGGTGTCCGAGGAGGGGGCCCAGGTCAAATGGTGAGTGCCAGGGGCCCGGGGCATGGGCAGGGCTGGCGTCTGTGGCATCCCGCCAGAGGGACCTCAGCACATGCTGCCACCCCTGGCCAGGCTGAAAGACGGGGTGGAGCTGACCCGGGAGGAGACCTTCAAATACCGGTTCAAGAAGGACGGGCGGAGACACCACCTGATCATCAACGAGGCCACGCTGGAGGACGCGGGCCACTACGCGCTGCGCACCAGTGGGGGCCAGGCGCTGGCTGAGCTTATCGTGCAGGGTGAGGCCGGGAGGCCGGGACAGGGACACCCTCAGTCCCAAACCCGCCCAGCTGCATAAGGGATCAGGCACAGCCGGGCTCTAAGCCTGTGTGAACCTGGGCAAGTCGCCCTCACACCCTGAGCCTCAGCCTCCTCGTCTGTAACAGGGGGCTGCCCAGGTGACCATGCTAGAGGGGGCCAGGCAGGTCATTGGTCCAGTTGGCATCAGCCCCCCCGAACACTCACGGGTCCTCGAGTACAGGCACACGTGTATGTCACACGTGGCACCTGTGTGTTCTCCCACGGTGCACACACCCAGACACATGCACGCCACAGCCCCGAGCCCGCGTGCTCCACAGGGACTCGAACCACACACCCCCTGGCTCACGGGCCTGCCTGCCCCCCAGAGAAGAAGCTGGAGGTGTACCAGAGCATCGCCGACCTGACGGTGGGTGCCAAGGACCAGGCCGTGTTCAAGTGTGAGGTCTCGGACGAGAACGTGCGGGGCGTGTGGCTGAAGAACGGGCAGGAGCTGGTGCCCGACAGCCGCATCAAGGTGTCGCACATCGGGAGGTGAGTGTGCCATGAGGCAGGGGGCAGGCAGAGCCTGTGCGCGAGACACTCAGAGACAGGGAGTGGGGCCCAGAGACACAGATACAGGGATGAACAGAAAGAGATAGGCCCACAGAGACAGCAGCAAACACACAGAGTCTGAGACAGAGACACACAGAGAGACAAAGAACCAGAGAAAGATAGAAGCAGAGACAGAGGCAGGACAGAGACTGAGCTGAGGAGAGAAAGAGACAGAGAGAGAAAACACAGAGAAATAAAGTTTCAGAGAGACGGAGCATGTGGAGGGACGGAAACACATCAGAGACAGAGACGGACAGAGACACATAGAGATACATAGACAAGCTGCAGCGAGACAGGTAGGGTTGGGAGCCCCAGCCTCCTCCCCCAACTCGTGACCAGGTGGCAGGAAGCTGCCGAGGAGATGGCTCTAGCCAGGGGCCCTCGCGGTCTCTCCCACCCACTTGCTCACCCCCTGGAGCATGTGGACCAGCTGGTCGTGCTCGTCCTAGGTTCACAGAAATTAAGAGACTCGGCCCAGGAACAGCAGTTGGCGTAATGGCTGTGTTACTGGACTCCCATGTAGTTGACTACAGTTCGAGTCCTGAACCCGGTGGCTTAAACTCATGTCGGACACTGTGCGTGCGTGCCCAAGATCCCGAGAGGAGAGTGGAAGAGAAGGGATTGCGGTGTGGCCATCCCCCTGGGGGGTGATTTCTCACTTTCTGTCTCTCTGTCTGTCTTTCTGGCAAGTACACGCGCCCTATAGCAAAAACCTCTAAAAAAAAAAAAAAAAAGAAAAAAAGAAAAAACAAAGAGAGACTTGGCCCCGGCCCGGCCTCCAAGGAGCCAGCCCAGGGGAGAGCTTTTGGCGCACAAGTCGTTTTCATGCTGCTCGCCCCTGAAAAGGAGTGAGGGAGAGGGAAATAGGAAAACGGACCCGAAAGGTCTTTGCAAAAATCCACGCCCCCGGGGAGCCAGTGCAGGGACGGGCCCCGGGCAGCCTCGCTGGGGTGTCCGGTGAGGTGGGGTTCCTGAGCCGCTGCTGCCCTGCAGGGTCCACAAGCTGACCATCGACGACGTGACGCCCGCCGATGAGGCTGACTACAGCTTCGTGCCCGAGGGCTTCGCCTGCAACCTGTCAGCCAAGCTGCACTTCATGGGTGAGCCCTGCGGGGTGGGCGCCTGTCGCCGGGCCCTGCCTTCGCCCTGGTGCCACTTGCTCTTCCTTCTCTTGCAGAGGTGAAGATCGACTTCGTGCCCAGGCAGGGTGAGTCCCTCGGCTCTGCCGTTTCCCCACGCCCCACCCAGCCGGGTCTCCCCTCCATTCAGAGGGAAGAGCAAGAATCGGACGGAGTAGGGTCCCAAGCTCTGTCACTCACCGTCAGGGGCCAGTAACAGTCTCTGAGCCTCCGTGTCCTCATCTGTGAAGCGGGGACCCGACAGTGACTCTTGCACGGAGTGGCAAGGAGGTGATGCATGAGTGAAGGCGCCTAGTGTCCCAGACGCCAGGTTTCATCCTTATCTCTCTTCTCCCTCAAGTACCGCTCCTGTGTTTAGATTGACCTTTGTTTTTTGAGACAGAGGTTTTTGCTATAGGATGCATAGGAAACACAGAGACAGAGAGACAGAAAGTGAGAAATCACCCCTCGAGGGGATGGCCACACCACAATCCCTTCTCCATTCTCCTTTCTGGATTTTGGGCACACACACACACACACACACACACATTGTGAGTTTCGGACCAAGAGTCGAGGACTTAAACCACAATCCAGTGGGAGTCCAGTGCCTTAACCACCATGCCACCTACCTGCTAGCCCCTAGATTAATTTTTTAAAGAATTATTTATTTTATTTATTATTATTATTAATTTGACCAGAGAGAGAGAGGGAGAGAGAAGGAAAGTGAGAATGCAAGCCACCAGGTCTGGGACTCGAACCATGGAGTCCATGTAGGAGTCCAGCACCTTAACTACTCTGCCACCTGCTGGCCCTCCCTAGATTAAGCTTTAATCAGACATTTCAGGGTTCTCACTTCAGGAGAACTGGCCAGGCTGAGGCAGGCTCTTAGCTGGGCTTTCCAAACAAGGCCCACTTAGTATTATTGACCTATGTAAAAGGATTCCCTGGGGCAATTAGTCGGGGAAACACTGAACACTTGGATCCAGAGGCGTCTTCACCTGGAAAAGGCTCTGAAAACCCTCCGGTGAAGAGACTTGCTTAACTCGGTTTAACCCAGGGCACTGTTTGGTGTCTTCCCAACAGTTTGTGAATGTTCTGCTGGTGACCTTAATGTCACAACCCCGGAGAGCTTCCTGGGGTGGCAGACTCATTCTCCATGTGAGCGGGATGGTGGTTCCACAGGTGTGCACGTTTGTCAAAACTCATCAGACTGATCAAGCCCGTCTAATTGATCGTGTCCAAATTATACCTCAAGAGACTTGGTGGAAACACTAGCAGCCATGGGACCCGTGGGTGGCATGGTAGTTAAAGCGCTGGACTCCTACATGGCCTACTAAGGTTCAAGTTCCAGACCTGGTAGCTTGCTTTCTTGTTTTCCCTCTCTCTGGTCAAATTAAAATAAGTGAATGAATAAATAAAAATAAATAAATAATTATTAAAAAAAAAAAAAGTAGCAGCCACAGAGTCTGGCAGGTGGCGTGGTGGTTGGGAAGCTGGACTCCCTCATGGCTGACTACGGTTTGAGTCCCGGATTGGGTGGCTTGCTTTTTCACTTTCCCTCTTTCTGTCTCTTTCTGGTAAGCACGCTTGCCCTATAGAGAACTTAAAATAATGGGGAACCAGCAGTTAGCATAATGGCTATGTCACTGGACTCCCACGTAGTCGACCGCGGTTCGCGTCCCGGACCCAGTGACTTAAAACTCACGCCAGGCACGTGTGCGTGCGTGCCCAAGATCTCGAGAGGAGAATGGAGGAGAAGGGATTGCGGCGTGAACATCCCCTCTGGGGGGTGATTTCTCGCTTTATGTCTGTCTGTCTGTCTGGTGAGCGTATGCGCCCTATAGCAAAAACCTCTCAAAAAAAAAAAAGATAAATTAGTAAGTAATTAATAAATAAGCTACCAGCCAGGGCGTGGGCTCCCAGCATAGCCCTCCCCCGTGGCCAGTGCTCTCCAGGTTCCCCTGCTTTCATGGGCCTGCCCCTTTCTCTGACATCAGCTGCCTTCCCCCCAGAGCCGCCTAAGATCCACCTGGACTGCCCAGGCCGCACACCGGACACCATCGTGGTTGTGGCTGGGAACAAGCTGCGCCTGGATGTCCCCATCTCTGGGGACCCTGCCCCCACCGTGATCTGGCAGAAGATACTCTCTCAGGTACGTGAGCCCCTCAGTCTCCCACTGTGAACCGGTGTGCAAGACCCAACTGCAGTGGCGGAAGTGGTGGAGCCCTGCCCTGTGAGGCTGGGCCACATGGGAAGTCTGGGTGTGACCCTCGGACCAACCCAAACAGGAGCGTGTCACCGAAAGGCTAGGACAGGAGGTCTGTAGCTTGGTGAGACCCTATCAAAAATACCTCTCTCCCCTTCTCATTCCTCTTTCATAAAAAAGGGAGAATATATATATATATATATATAATTTTTGAGAGGTTTTTGCTATAGGGCGCGTGTGCTCACCAGAAAGAGAGAGACAG